TTTGTGCTATTTGGACTGTTATCGAATTTGATTAAAAGAGAATGAAATTCAGTTGCGAGAGGACTAGAAGCAAGCGAGAAAAAATACTCGCGTCACGTTGTCATGCCACAGGAAATGCATCATCTTTCGTCGCTTATATAAAATATATGTATATTTTAACGGCTAACGCCGGTACCGCAACTTTTTTCCTCTCTCTTTCTCTCTCTCTTTCTCTCTCTCTCTCTCCATTCTCCCCTTTTCTTCAACATGAATGCCGAATACTTATGGCAAAAAAACGAACTGATTCCATAACATCCATATGTTTAGTGAAGTTTATTCCTAAAATAGACAATAAAAAATTAGTAAGCTATTTTAAAGCGACTTTGACGAAATTCTAGTTTAGTCAGCATTATTTTATCAACTCATTAAACATTTTCATGCATGAATATGTATAATATAAATATGTATAAACATAAATATTCATAAATATATATAATCATATATAAAATATAATCATATATAAAATATTTGAAATGACAATGAAATCGATGTCGATTCGATGTCAATTTAATGATTTTGATATTGAATCGACATCGATTAATTATCGATTCCATTATCATTTCTCACTGGATATATGTTCATACATCTTTCTTTCTTTTGTAAAATTATATTTTAATGTAATAAAAATAATAACAGTAATGAAAATATTAAGAATAATTAAATGGATTTTTACATTTGTTTCATTTTAGAAAAAATCAAGTTTGAAGAAATGTAAAAAAATTACTTATGTATAATTATAATTATATAAAAATTATGCATAATTGTATGAGCAATTTATGTTACATTTCTCCAAACTTGATTTTTTTTGAAACAATATCAATATCCCTTTAATTATTTTTTATGTTTTCACATTACTATTATTATTTCTATTATACTAAAAGTAATTTTACAAAAGAAAGAAGGATATATGAACATGTATGGACATATTTCTTATATGCTTATATATGTTTATAATATTCACGCATAAAAAATTTTTTATCGAGAAGTAATAGAAATAAAATTATTAAAGTAATTAATAACGAATAGAATTATGTTTAATCGAAACTAGACTAAAAACAATAAATTGTATATGTATATATAATATATATATTAGAAATATATCAGAAATTATCTTATCAGATTATTAATATCAGAAATTTTGTCTTATATTAAGTAATTCTTCGTCAGTGAATTAATCGCTGATTAAATTAATTGGAATTTGTTGAAATTAATCGGAGTCGCCCTAATTATCAAAGATTTTATTTATTCATGTATTTATTTATTATTGTTATTAGTCACTTATTTATTTATATTTCAAGATTTTATTTATTTTAATATAAAAAAAATGATTTGTAAGTGATACTACTCTAGTATTATTAACAACATTTTCTAAAAAAATTGATGTAAACAATGATTGCGTTCAATAGAGAAAGTAACTTTGCAACAATTATAAAATTCTTTAATATGATTATTTATTTAGATCCAGTGAGGAATTAAAGACAAGACCAATCATAAAGAATTTTATAATGGTTGCAGAGCTGCTTTCTCAACTGAATATGTAACCAATTCTTAAACCACAATGATATATAATCGTCTTGACAACTAAATCCTCAAACGAAGGAGCGAAACCATTTAGTAATAAAATCGTAAAAACATATCCAAGAAATGAATAGCAATCACGCTTATTTGTTTCAATCATATAATACAAAACTTTCTAAATTCATTTTATCTTAATAGCAAGAGAACAGAGATAATGAATTGTGAAATTGGCCGTATTATTCAATCGTTTATTATCGGATAGATTATCGGATAGTCTATCGGATTTCGCTGATCGACGGCGTAATTTTTCACACGTCTCGTGCGTTATAACATCGATGTTTTTATCTCGATTTGCAAACATTTTATTGCGCCGATACATGTAACAAGCGACATGCGCCTTTCTTTATTTATTGTGCAAAACATCGCGGAGACAATGATCAGCGTTATGCAAATACATTGCAATAGATTATAAATATAGTATCACAAGAAAGTCGCGAGAGAGCAATAAACCCCAACGAAGTTAGCTGTTCTGTGACCCATTCCTATCTCTAATGTAAATTAATTTATTATCTTATAAGTTTAATTTACTCTTTATTTCTTTAATCTCGATTTCACACTGTTAGATATCAGCAGCAATAATAATCCAATATCTTGAGTTTATTTTATTATTTTTAACTTCTCTCTAAATTCTTTGAAGAGAAATCTCACTTTAAAGAGTGAAATCTTATTCTTAAAGATTGAAAATTTCCTTAAAAGAGAGACAAAATTTTCATTTCTTTAGACTGAGATTTTATTCTAAAGAATTTAGAGCACACTTGTCCAATTTGCCAAAACGTAAAACCAGCAGCTTTATTGTTTCGTGAAAACGCATTTCTGTAAATATCTCCGTTTTCTTTTCCACCAATATAGATTAACTTTAATCTCGTTGATAAGTTATTTTTAACTTATTTTTTTATTTTAGTTATTTTTTGTATTAACTTATCTTTTTTTAGAGTTAGAAAAATTTAAGAATACATTTATTAAAATTCAATTAAATTTAATTCAAATTTAGTTTATTATTTATTATAAGTGCATTAACATGAAGATTGTTTTGTAACTAAATAATCCAATCACAGAAATGTATTTTGATTGACATTTTGACTCACACATCTCTCTAAACCTGTTCAATTTGAACTCTGGAGTAAAGTCATTGACATAAAAAAATTCAATGTGAATATGATTTCGGGGAATGTAAAGTGTTGATATCCATTTGAATGACATTTATCAACATTTTACAGTCCTCAATTGTATTAAATTTCGGTAAATATTATGCAAAAAACAAAATCGACACATGCACGTACGATTGTGTGTCGCAATCAGTAGCATTATCACGAGTTTCTAAACGTACGCCGCGCCGAGCGAGGATGAGACGGTTTAAGTGACAAGGTCGAGTGGCATTTGCAATAATTGCAATATACAATATGCAATACTGTCGCGGTCGCGACGTACAAAGTAAACAAGCCCAGAGTCGGCGTGCAACCGTCGCTTTATTATATCTAATCCCGTCATCGCCCTATCATTCTTAATCTTCGCACATAGCTGCGACGACCTTGCTCGTCGATTAGCGGCTAAAAGCTGAATCAAACCGACGCGACGCGACGCGAGGGACTATCACGAGATAGGAGGAAAGAGAACGAAAGCGTCGCTTCTTCATGCGCTTCCTTCTGACATGGTCTCCGAGATCGATAACAATCGGTAACGAGATCAATAACCAACAAAAATTGACACACGAACTGCAACCTATACACACTGTGTATAACAAAATCTATAAATTTATTGTAGCAGCATCGAATTGCTCGTACATCTCAACCAAAAATAATCATCAATTAGACGTATCAAAATCATCGTATTGATATCGATTTGATAATCAATTTAATGTATCATTTCTCATTGGAGTCTAAATAATTTCGGAATTCGATGAAATTTCAAAGTAGAATTTATATTTTTATTGTTACTTGACAACGTAAATTTCTTATTCGGACTTATATTAATAAAATATATTTTAATACAAGATATCAAATAGATATATAAAATTTCATTTATTCAAAAGTGATTCTAATACTGGTAAAAAATTCATAAACTTTTTGAATACAGAAAAATCGATTGTGTAATAAAAATGAAAATTTAAATAAAAATAAAATAAATAAAAATATAGAATTATATTAAGATATTCTCATTAAAATATGCGTATTTTTTGTATGTACACGGTTATATTATACAAACTTATTAATGTTACGGAATATTAATAGAAACAAGATGCGCTTCTTAAAATAGAT